ATCACCCTCAGCCGCGGTGCAGTGGGCGGAGCTCCACTCCGCGGTATCTCTGTCCGCGGCATTCTCCCTCGTGGTGGGCTCTGTTGCCCGCTCTCGCACCTTGACTGACATCACTTGCAGCTCCGGCTCCAGTTCAGGCTCTCCATCAGCGGTGGGCTCTAGCATGCACTCCGCGCAGCGGGGAGATGGTGGGCTGGGCACTGGGTCAGGAGTGGATCTGGCGAGATCATTCACGGGGCAGATGGTGAATGGCGATCCATTTCTCGCCAGAATCCACTCCACGAAGGCGGCGAAATCTGCTCGAGGACTGTCTTCGCACGACGGTGCTCTGCATGTGGTGTTCAGGCTGGCATCATAGAACGCACAGAGCGCATCGTTTGGATAGCTGGTGAGTTCGGTGAGGGCCAGAAACAGTCTGGTGTGGCCCTTGAGCGATCTTTCCCCCTGCTCCAACAGGAGGAGGTATTCAGGGCGGGCAAGGGGATCCATGAGGGAACACAACGGAAACAAAACACTGAGTAAAACGCAAAAAACAAAAACGGAGGGGAGACATGGAGGTTACTGTTTAGGTCGGGTCTTCTGTCACAGCTGTGCAGGAGGGAAGGAGCGCAGGAGACGCGGAGAAGCGTTACACAGTCTTTTAATGAACAATCACAGAGGTAAATCCACAACAGGAACGAGGAACGACACACGAACATAACCAGTAGACCCGACAAACACTAACTGAACGGACTGGGGTTTATAAACACAGGATAACGAGGGACTAATCGAGGGGACTAAGAAGACACACCTGGAATCAAATTAACACAATCAACAAGAGGGAGAAACTGGGTCACGGGGAGCAAAACACACACAAACAGTCCATGGGCGTCACACCTTGCTGGTTAAGCTAGTTAAAAAGAGGACAAAACCATCCATTGCGGAATAGCTCATACACTCACAAATCCTCATACTCCACCAGTAAAGTTGAGTAACTTAAGCCAAACACGTCCAATAATAAACTGTCACTAAAACAAATAACAGCAAGCACTCAGGCACTAAAACAAATAAAAGGCCGCAAATTACAGAGCCCAATCAGAACAGATCCACAGGAAAGACACAGCATGACACAAGCAGTAGAAAGGAAATAAAAGCTGTATTTTGGGAACAATGTTTTTTATATTATAATAAGTGGGAAAGAAAGAGAGAGACTGTCTAATTGCACATTAACAGAAGCCGAAACAGTAAATCTTTGGGGACGTTACCACAACTGTCAGTCTCTTTGCCGCTTTTCAACCATAATTAATTCAAGCTTCTGTTACTAATTAATTTGGCTCAGCTAATTAAACAAAAGAGGCACCTTGGGTTCCTATCTTTCCTTCCCTCCATCCCTTTCTCCTCTGTCATTGTTCTGCTTTTTCCCTGGGATTTTCTGTGTCAGTGGGACAATTCAACCAACGAAGCCATAAAATTTGCTCTCTTCATCATACTGATGTTATCATTTCATGTTTTATGCATGTTTGCCTTTATATGATATCTAAGGTCTAAGTACAGTGCTTCCGAGGAAGAAAAATGTTATATTTTTGTTTCACAGTGCATCATAGAAATGGTCATAATAAATATTTAAATATAAAGGGCGAGCCATCCATGTATATTTCAGGATCATCTTGGGTAACCGCAACAAAACAGATGCTGCGAGTGGCGCAGCATAAAAGAAAACACCTAGACCTAGGGCCAGTTGCATAAACTTAGCCTCTGTGTTAAGAAATTGTCTTAAGAACAAGTCTGACCAACTAGCAGTTAGCTAGTGCATGGATGATAAAAGCAAGGATTAGCATGTCCTACTTTAATAAAATATGCACAAAAATATTCTCCTGTCCCATCTTAGTATGCAGTTCAACTAAAAATGTAATTCACAATGCAATTCAACTCACTTGCATTTGTCCACAAAAAGGGGATTAAAAGTGGTCTATCCAAAAATGTTATTCTATATTAATTAGTTCATAAGTGCATATAAAGTGTTTGTCTATAGTGCAAAAAGCAGTGCTATTTTAGTATCATAATATTACATTTTTGTTTAATATTTTGATTAAGATTTTATTTCTGTTTTCACTTTAATTCTAGTTAGTTTTAGTAATTTTGTTGTGTGTTTTTGCCATTTTTAGTAAATATGTCTATATAGTTTTTATTTAATTGTTTTAGTTTATTTAGTTTTACTTATTTTAGTAATTCAAGTTAAAATAAATGAAACTGAGAAATGATGACTTGGAAATAAATAAAATATGAAAATGAAATAAAATAATAAATAAAAATGTAAAAAAGTATTTAATCTCAGTTCATGTTTATTTTATTTCAAGTAACAAGATTTTTTTTTTAGTCTTTGGTTAACTATAATAACCCTGGCAAAAAAGACAAATGTTTCAGGAATACAAGTCAAGTCAAGTCAAGTCAAGTCTGCTTTATTGTCAATTCTTCCACATGTACAGCACATACACACAGAGAATTGAAATTGCGTTACTCTCAGACCCTTGGTGCATACAGATAACACTAACAGTAGAACATAAATACAGATATACAGATTAAATTTAAAATACAACTATACAAATATACAAATAAGGTAAAATGTAAAAAAAAAATATATAAAAAAATATATAAAGCAGCACAAGGCACAAGGCACATGGCAGATAGAGTGCAAACCAGTGAAGTAAACAAACAGTGCAGATATAATGATTGTAGTGCAAAGAGCTTATTCAGACTGATTAAAGTGACAGTGTGTGTGTGTATTTGGGAGGGGGGAGTGGGAGAGTCCATCAGAGGGTCAGAGTTCAGTGGTGCGTGGGGCAAAAGAGGGGAGGGGGGGCAAGGTCGGGAGGGAGTTCAGCTTCCTGACAGCCTGATGGATGAAGCTGTCCTTCAGTCTGCTGGTCCTGGCCTGGAGACCACAGTCTCCTCCCTGATGGCAGCAGACTGAAGAAGCTGTGTGTCGGGTGGGTGGGATCACCTGCAATGCAGAGGGCTTTGCGGGTGAGACGGGTGTTGTAAATGTCCAGGAGGGAGGGGAGAGAGGCACCAACGATCTTCTCAGCTGCTCTCACTATGCATTGAAGTGTCTTGCGGCAGGACGCGTTGCAGGCGCCATACCACACAGTGATGCAGCTCGTCAGAATGCTCTCGATGGTGCCTCTGTAGAAGGTGCACATGATGGGGGCCGGGGCTCTGGCTCTTCTAAGTTTGCGGATGAAGTAGAGACGCTGCTGTGCTT